AGTCGGTGTAGGGATCACAGGCCCCAAAGGTCAGTTCTTCCCGCTTTACCCTGGCATGCCCTCACTACCATCCTCCTGGCACTCAGAAAACCAAGGAACACGGTCTAACCCAGGAACACCCGGGGTGAGGCAAAACAATCACCCAGAAGACACGACCAGGCAAACACCCCGAAGGGGCAGCTGGCCATGAAAACCCGAATGGACCAAAATGGCCCCAACAGGGCGCAACAGAGACCGGCACCGGGCGGGCAGGCTGGGGGTACCTGCAGCTGGGTCAGGCAAGGCGAGAAGGGACCTCCCTCTCCGACTCAGCTGCCTTTAGAAACCAGGCACCCGGCAGGGCGCTGGGAGCCTGCTCCATCTTCCCCGGGAGGGGCCAGAGGCCCGGACAGTTTACCTCGGGAACGTAATTGTCCCTCCTCTCTCTCTCCTCCTCCTGCAGCTTGATGGAGATGCCTCTCACGGGGCCTCTCTGGATCCGCTTCATCAGATGCGTGACATAGCTGCGGGGTTCAAAGGCCCAAGAAACACGCTGAGACCCGGCGCGGGGGCACGAGACGTCCACAGGGAGGAGGGAGCGGGCTCGCCACCCCAGGAGCCGCGACTCCGGACCACACAGCGCCCCGCTGCCTAAACACGCCCCTCACGCCCTCTGGTCCAGTTCCGTCCAAGCCATCAGCCCCTCCCCGGTCGTCGTTTTTGGGGCTCTCGTCCCAGTCCCGATTTATCACACTTCATACTAAGTCTTCTGGGAGGATATGGGGGGACAATGGCAGTGGACGAGCCCAATAAGGAGAATGCACATACATACACACATACATACATACATGCAGAGTCTCCCGGAGGGCTGACCGTGGCCGGCTGTCACGGCCAGATGTGACAGTCCCAACGAGAAACCTTGCAAAAGCACTTCCCCGGGGCATCGGGAAGACTGGCGCTCGCGAACCCCCCGGGGCATAGTCCCCCGCCCCGGCTCCAGCCCCACTTCGCGGGAAGCGCAGGCCCAGGACGGCCCCCGGGCCTCGGCGCCCCACCCCACTCACCCCGCTATCTTGTTTCGGAGCTTCTTGCTGGGGATAATGGCGATCTCCTCGCACACGCGCTTGTTGGTGTGGAAGTCATTGCCCAGGCGCGTGTAGTACTTCTCGATGATGACCCGGGCCGCCTTCTTCACGGTCTTGGTGCGAACGCGGCCCTGCGGGTGGAGAAGACAGGGTCATTGCCAGCCAGGACCCCCCTCCTCGCGAGAGCGCGCCGTCGCGTCCCGACCACATCAGGGTCTGCGGGCCGGGGCCGAGCCCGGGAGAGGAGAGGAAGGGAATGAGCCGGCCGGGCGTCGCCGGAGCGCGGGATCAACGCGGAAGCCCGTGGCCCGCAGAGTCTCTGGCCTGACAGGGCCCGGCGCCCCTCCTTGCGGGCTGCAGGCAGCGGAAAGAGGCAGATGGAAGTCGATTGCGAGAAACAACAGCTTCAAGCCAAGGAACCTACCATCTTGGGTCCCTGGTGAAAGAGGAAACAGGAAGCACAAGAGAGGCCTATAAAGCGCAGGCTAGAAAGCCGCTTCCGCCTTGGCCGGGACATGCGGCGCCTACGCGGGCGCGCGGCAGCGACCCCTGGTGGGGCGGAGCGGAAGTGCAGGCAGCCAGCCAGCCAGCCAGCAAGCACTGGCGGGCGGGGCTCTCGCTTATAGGCCCCGCCCCCTAGCTCAGCCCTGGGCTTTCTCTGAGCGCGTAGGTTCCGAGAGCCTGTTGGGTGTGTCCAGGCCAAAAGGAGTGCACGTGTTCCTCATCTGCCGGGGCAAGGGAGGGAGACTGAGTCAGGCCTTGGGAAGGCCATTTGGTGGCGTGGAAAGGTGAGGAAGTAGATGTCCCCTGCCCAGGAACCCCCACCCAGTCCGCGGTCAGAGATTTGTCCTGTTAGCTTGGTGGAAACCCAGGTACAACCGGGAGAGGCTTCTCTCATTTCTCCCCAGCCTTTCCTCAAAGGTCACCTTACACGAGGGCCTTTCCGTCCAACTTACACAGCATCACTATCCCTTTAAGTCTGCGTCTCTCTCTACTGTGTTCTGCGGTGTACAATGCACTCCCGTGTGTAATGCATGTTTTTGGCCCAAACTTTCAGGAAAAATGTCATTTTTAGTTTTTAATTCAATTTTTATTTATATTTAAAATTTTTTTAAGATTTTATTTTTAGAGAGGGAAGGGAGAGACAGAAACATCCATGTGCAGTTGCTGGGAGCCGTGGCCTGCAACCCAGGCATGTGCCCTGACTGGGAATCGAACCTGCGATGCTTTGGCTCCCACCCTGCGCTCAATCCACTGAGCTACACCAGCCAGGGCTTGAATACTTGTGTTTTTATTATAAAGGAATTTTAGCAATTTTGAACATTATGGTATAAGAAATTTTTTTAACAAGTGTTAATTTATTTTTATTTTTAGAGAGGGAAGGGAGGGAGGAAGAGAAACATCAATGTGCGGTTGCTGGGGGTCATGGCCTGCAACCCAGGCATGTACCCTGACTGGGAATCGAACCTGTGGCACTTTGGTTCGCAGCCCTTGCTCAATTCACTGAGCTACACCAGTCAGGATGGAAGAAATTTTATGTAACAAATAACTACAAAATACAAGAGCAGATACAAGGTATTTCACGTGCTACCCATGGATAACTGCACACCCTTTTTTACCCTAAAAAACTTGGGCAAAAACGTGCACATTATGCACGACTGAGTACAGCACTTGTCACGGTGACTTCATTTTCTCATCCCGCTGAGCTCCATGACAGCAAGGGACAGGTGATTCAGCTACTCACCTGAACAGTGCCCAGCACAAGGCATGCTCTCAAATTAAACCAAGGGCCCAGTTCACGTGCGATGCCCCCAACCATTGGGACACCTTCTGCCTTCAGGCTGTCCCTGTCATGTACCCATCCTGAATCAGGCCCTCTACAGCCACCAGTACTGGCCACCTTTGATGGCCTCACTAGCCTACGGAGTGCCCTGCCCCCTCCCCACAACTCTCCTAGTCCCAGGCCCTCCCCCAACTCAAGGGAAGGCTGGGCTGGCCAGGCTGGGTGAGCTAAGGGACACAGGGCTGTCTCTCATCCCTCAATGTCCCTACTCGTCACCTCCGTCAGTCCCATCACTCTAAACTGACTGGAAGTGGAAGGCTGAGGGACAGGAAGCCCCCCTACAGCGTAAGGCAGCAAGAAGAGACCGGAAGGGAGGGCAGGCTGCAGGAACTTCAGCTACCAGCAAAGGTCAAGCCAAGCTGCCACCAGCCAGGCCTCAAGTGAAAGGGGAGGTCTCTCCTTGGTGGAGGGACTCCTGGTGCCCCGCCCTCCCCCACCCGAGTGGGTTGGTGTACCTGCCACAGAAAGGCCCTTTGGCACGGAGGGTCCCCGGCACCTCAGGCCAAAATGCAGTCTTCTGTAGGATCCGTCCAGCAGAGGGGCCGGGCACACCCCACCCGACCAAATCAGCGGGCCCTCTGGAGAGTGGTGGGAAGTACCACGAATGCTTCCCTCCCTCCCTCCCGGAAAAGAACCGGGTCGGCCCGGTGAGTCCAGAGGACAGGAAGCCCCCAACACGGACACAGAGGCCCAGGGTGCACGGGGGAGACAGACCAGCGGCTTGTGCTGACGTCTGAGCGGCGGGGCCCCAGTTCCTCCAAGCCGGGCCTGGGACTTACGGGGGAAGGGCCCCCAGGAAGCCTAAGTGAGGGCCTTTCACACTTGGACTAGTGGTACCCACCTGCCCAAGAGGCATCTCCGAGGTGCACTTGGCCATGGAAGTGGCCGAGACGTACCTACAGGGACAAGTCTCCCACGTGGTCCCGCCACCTACCTGGGCTGGAACCCCATCCAGGAGATCCGAGGAAATGTGCGTTTCCACTCTGGAGCCTGACTTAGGACCCCACTGCTCCCAAGTCCCCACCCTCAGACACAGAGACAAGAGGAGAACTCTGCTGCAACGTGTTTATTATGTGCCAAAAAAAAACTACACCACAGCTTACTCCACACATCCGCAGGAGAGTGCAGTCTTGCCTGCATATACTACAATGAGGTAGAGACTTCACACACGGCTTCACGAAACCCACAGAGTAGCTGGGATATGCAACAATGCAACGTCAGCTCAGCGGGGAGGGGGGGTTATGACACTGGTTCTTTGGCACACAGCTTCCCAAAGAGGGGCAAGTAGGTTTAAAAAAAAAAAAGGAAAAAGAAAAAAAAGTCAAGTTTTCAAATTCCAGTAGCATTTCCGTCCACTGCAACTGTCGCTCCGCACATTTCTCAAATCGAAGAAACAAGGGAACAGTTCCCGTCCCCTCTGAGAGAAAGGGCTCCTGTGAGCCTCCCTCTGCCCCACTGAAAAGCAGCCCTTTTTTAGCTCAGTTACAAAAGAAAGAAGTCCTGTGACTTTGTGATTAAAAACTCCTATCAACCCTCCCCCCGAATAAGTGCAACTTAAGGTGCAATAAACCATTTAAACTTATGTATAGCAGCTGCTCTAACACCGTTTACCTGGTCCAGTATGCAACTCAAAAACTTTTTTTTTCTTGGTTGCAATTTTTATCCCGTCATTCGCAACTGTGAGAAACAGTGACCAGCAGTCCCCCAGACACAAATTTGCTATAATGTTAAAAGCTGCCAGGAAAGGAAAAAAAAAATTCTGTTGTTCCAAATGACTTAAAAACTATCTTAAGGAGTGTAAAAAGGAACCGGTAAAAACCCTCGAGCATAAAATATGAAATATGATTTTGGTTCAAATGAAGAGCAAAGTCTCCTTGTTGTTTACAGTAAAAAACACCAGCTGAACACTCAGTTTATGCCGTTCAGGTGGGGGCTAAATCAATGGAAAGGCACTGTATGGCAACTGCGAGAATGAAACCAGCGAGACCTGCGCATCACCACCGTCGGTATTGCAAGGAATGTAAAAAAAGCGCTTTTAATAAATAAACCTAGATGTAGGCATCGTGTCGGTACCTTCTGGACACGTAGTTTGCTTTGCTTTTCATCGGCAAAATGAGGAACTAAAAATCTGGGAAAACTACAGAGTCGCTTGGAGGGCGAGCCAGAGGGTCCTTGCCCTGCCTCAGCCCCTGAAAACAAACCTGACAAAACTCATTGTGCATTAATTAGTGCAGAAACAAAGACAGACTCAGCAAGTGCAAAGGTGACTACGGTCTTCCCTTGTCCCCGGGAAGCCAGCTCCCTGGTCGCCGGTGGCCGGGTGGTGCAGGCTGCCGCCTGACCTGCCAGCCGCGGGCACTCGGGCACCACAGGCCACCGGGCGAGGCCGGCTCCTCTAGCTGGAATCTCGGCTCTTCTGGTTCCGCATCAGGGGGCTGTGGTGGCGCAGGCCCTCCGTGCTGTGCCGCCAGTGCCAGCAGCTCCGGCAGAAGTACTTGAAGCACACCTGGCGTGGGGAGGAAGAGGGAGACAGGGCTCTCCTGGGTCAGCGTGGCCAGCCCCGCTCGTGAGACGTGGGGATTCCCGGTGGCCTCTGAGGGGCTACAAGAGAGGGTCTCCCAGAACCCTCTCACCCCAGCGCAGGCCCGACCGACCCACGAACCTGCGGCCCGTGTTCCTGCGGGTGCCGACTTCGTCGCACACGCTGGGCTCCCTTGGACCCTGTGCAGAGCCGTGCTGCTCCCCTTGCCCCCAGCCCCTGCCCTTCCCTCGCCTACAGCAGCTGCGTTGCAGGCTGCTCCTGTGTGAGGACGTCGGAGCCTAATGCAAGTGACGTGCCTTCTGCTTCACCTTAAGTGAGGACAGGTGACGGTATGCACCTCGGTCTCTGTCCCACCTCGTGCTCTGAGCTGGGTAACCTCTGGCAAGCCACTGACCTCTGAGCAATCACCTGGAAACGGGGCACCATCTGTGACAGATCTGACACCCGAAGCCTGTCATGGAGGCTGATCAGAGATGCTCGTCCCCAGGCCCCGCCCAGCAACCCAGACGCACTGCACACCCCCGCTCCGTAGCCTCCGTTTACCCACTGTCCACCCAGAGTCTCCAAACTGAGCGACAGACACACCACTGGGAAAACCAGCAACACTGGCACGGCCTGGAAGCTCGCCAGGAGAACGGGGTCCCAGGCCCCACTGCCAACCCCCGGAAGCGCAGGCCACACCTACCCAGGGTCCCCGGTGGTGTGTGTACACACCGCAGCACGGGGGGCGTTTCCCTGCACCGCCCTCCCGACCTGTGCACCTCGCCCAGAGACGTCCCACCAAATGCCGCCCACGCTGCTTCTGACCACTGGGGGTACAACCCCCACCCCGGCTGGGGGATCAAAACAGGCCAGAGATTCAGAAGTAGAGAAGGGGTCCCCGAGTGGGGGAACCAGCCTGGGAGGTCCCGGGATCTGAACAACAAACGCTGCTTGGCCCACAGGTACTGCTGACCACACCCACCCAGGCCCCTGCCGTCCTCTGAAGCCATCGGTGGGTCAGCAGGGGCACCGCCTGCCAACGCCCCGCACCAGGAGAGGCCCAAGCGTCAGGACAACCCGGCGAGCGCTCCCGCGAGTTCCAGCTCAGGCTACTGCAGTGTGCCCCTGGCCTGACCACCACCACTCCCTCTTCCTCTGCGCTGAGCTGACCACAAGGGACCTGAGAAGGCCAATACTCCACGTGATGAAAGGGGCGTGACCACTTCTACTTAAGGGTGGGGCAGAGTTCCTGGACACCTCAAATGTCCAGGGGGCTCACCTGATCTCGACAGAAGAAAGGGCCAGGCTGAGAGCTGCAGATATGACACAGAGAGTCTTCCAGGTAGGGGTCGATCTGAACCTGCACAGAGCAAAACGGAGAAGGAAGTGGCTCCTCCCCCGGGAGGCCAGTGGGCTAGGGAGGGAAGGTGCACTGCCGGGCCCTCTGTGTGACGCGGGCGCTCCCTGAGTTCAAGGGGCCCCGAGAGAATTACGGGTGTTCGAGGACAGGCGAACACACTACAGAGGGCTTGGCTGGCGGCCTCTGCAGCTGGGCGACCATGTGCATTCATTCCTGCCTTGACTTCCCAGCACAGGGGACCCCACACGCTTCCACCCAGCGAGACGTGAGTGTCCAGAGGACACAGGCCAGGAGAAGGACGCCAGGCTACCTAGCAACGCCCGGCCAACACCACAGCCAGGGGAGGCGGAGGAGGCCCAAGGGAGCCAGCCCTGCTCTCCGGAGTCACCCGGACCAGGCTCGCCCCACACCCCGACCTGACCCCTGGGGGTCCCTTGGATCTCAGCTCCCTGCTGTGGGCACACCCCGCCTCAGGACTGCCCAGGGTAGTAAGGGGCCCAGGAGAAGCAGGGACCTGCCCCTCACCTTCTTGGTGAACTTGGTGGTTTTTATCTCCACGAAAGCGGCACTCACGGCTTTCAAGTAACTACGCTGGTTATTGAAAGTCACACGACCAGACCCTGGTGGAGGAACAACACAACACGTGTACCTTCCAGCCGGACTCTCCCAAACTGCCCCTTGTCGGCACTCGGGAAACCCCGTCTCCACACCAGTGAAGGCCCTCAGAAACACAATGGGGGCAACTGACGTAATGTCAAGTTTTCTAGGAGCCACATTTAAGGAGGCAAGTGGTGGGATTAATTTTAGTAGTTTATTTTATTTTACCCACATATCCCAAACCTTACCATCCCAACATGTGGCACTGGCTACATTTTAAGCGCTCAGCAGCCACATGTGGCTGGTGGCTGCCGTGTTAGATGACACGGTTACAGACCACGATGGCATGAACCCAGCAGGACAGGGGAAGGGTTTGCTGATGGAAACGGGGAGGGAAGAGTCCTCTGGAGTGGGCAGGTGCACAGGTAAGATGAGAAGACTCCGAGTGGAAACCCAGAGGCAGAGAGAACCTCTCTCTGAAGGTGGCCCAGCAGCCACGCCCTCCTCTGCGGCCCTCCGAGACCTGGCTGGGAGCCGGGAGGGCCCGTTCCCAGGCTGCAGTGCAGCTCCCGGAGGACACGGCTCCTTCCCGACCGGGCTCGGAGGGCGGGCAGACCCGGTATTTGGGGAGGCGGGTGCACCGCGTGTCAGCCAGAAGGTTCAGGCTCCGCTCCACCTCCAGAGCCTGCCCCCTGAGACCCTTCTGCGACGTCCAGGGAGCCGACCCAGGGGCTGGCCCTCAGATCGCTGCCCCGTGCCCCACGCTGGGGTGGCAGTGGACGGCTGCACTGCTGCCTGAGCCACCCGGGCTCTCCTTCAGCCTGACCCTACACAAGGGACACTTCTCAAGAACGCCCTTAAGAAGCAGCAGGCAGGTTCAGAAAGTCCCGGCCTTGTAACAAAATACGGCCTGCTCCCTGCCCCAGACGGTTTGGCTCGGAGCTGCCCACCCGAGTTCCTGTCTCGCTTTCACCTGCTAGGCCTCCTGCCTCTGTGTGTCCTCCCCTCCCGGGGAGGTGGGGGAGGGTGGGTGCACAGGGGTCGAGGCAGCTGGCTTACCTGGGGAGACGCTGAGCTGCTGGTGCACGTCCGTCCGCAGACCTGGGTCGGCCTCCCTCTCCGCCCCCGTGGGGAGTACCGCAATCCTGGGCTACCTCCCAGGGGCCACCGAGCCTCCCCACACAGAAGTGGGACACTCACCAATGGGATACTTGTGCTTATCTGTGTCAATGCCGGCGTAAACCACTCCGCCAAATAGGTCGTTGAGGATGGCTGCCAGGGCCTCGGCGTTGAGCATCCCGTGCAGAGCGCCCACAAACACCGTCCTGCTGGGGTCGAGTCTCTGAGACGGGCTCCGGACAAAGTTGCTGTCAGCCAAGACCCAGGGGATCACTTGTACCTGCAAACCACCCAAAGGCTGTCACCCTGGCGGGCACCCAGACACAGGCTCCTGCAGGTTCGCGGGGCGGGGCTGTGGAGGCCCAGGCGCAGCGGTCCTGTCCCGACGAAGTACTGTAGAAACCAGCAAGAAGGCAGAAACAGTCGTCCAGAGGACAGGAGAGGAAGGTGGCGGAGGCCAGGGTGCCGGGCTCGGAACAGCCAGGACTGAGGGCTCAGCCTGGGCCTCGGGGGCGGGGGCGGGGGCGGGGGCGGGGCAGCCCAGCAGAAGCTACCACAGAAGCCAATTTCACCTTCACCAGGAGATGAACAGGCCCGCTTTGCTCTTCCCACTCACTCCCACGGGAAGTACCACCCCCGGGGTCCACGCCCTAAGGGCCACCAGGCTTGCAGGCTTTTCCTCACACCGAACACGAGAGGGTGAACCCGGCCTGTTATTGGGATGAAATGGGCACACACACTGGGAAACACCCATGCAGGAAAGAACCAGCTCCGCCGCACGGACGATTTCGCTCGGATGTGACCTCTCAATAAGGCAGACACTCTACCCTGCCCCTTACTCCGCAGGTTCTAACAGACTTGACTTTCTAGAGTGGCTTCAGGCGCACAGCAAAATGGAGCTCAAGTGCCGTGAGCCCCTCCCACCCCTTCTCCGTACACGCAGCCTCCCCACCACCGGCCTCCGGCAGCACAGGTGCCTCTGTCACGACCGGCCAGCCTCCACGGACTCCTGTACTCACTGCTGTAGTGTCACACGGAGTAGGTGCCACACCCACTCACCCGTCCCTTCCCCGTGACCCCTGGCAGCACTTTTCGTCTTTTTACGAAAACGTGCCTGTTGACGCCCTGTTTCATAGACAAGGAAATGAGGTTTCAGCGACGTTAAATGTCTGGTCCAATGTCCCAGAAGGGTCGTGCTCTGGAACCAGGACTGGGAAGCAGCAGCACCGGTTCCCCACTAAACCGAACAGCCTCCACTATGGGACGTGGGCCCTCACGACCGGAAGGAGTCTGGAGCTCCGGGCCCAGGGCTGTCCTTTAACACCCATGTCTCCAGCACTGTCCCCTGGAGCCCGCAGGCAGCGCGGTGGACGAGGAGGTCCTTTAGCTCCTCCCAGACAGGCACGGCACGTCTGAGAAGGAGCCCAGGAACACGGCGTGAGGTTCCAGGTGGAAAAAGCAGCAGCAGGAGAGGCCCGAGGAGCAAGAACGCGCGCGGGGAGAACCCCAGAGCCAGCGAAGCCTGCCCGGGAGGGAGGCGGCGACCACAGGCGGACGTGGCTCAGAGCTGCCCCCACGGACGGGGAGGGGCTGAGAGACAGCAACTTCCTCGGGCAGGAGCACACACACCACTGAGGCCCAAAGGTTGCTTGTTTTTGTCTGTTGACGTGATCAAGAACATATGTTACGTCTGCCGTGAGGGAAGCGGAGCGGCCCTCTTGCCTCAGCAGCAACCCTCGCCTGCGGCCCGGGAGCCCCCCGCCCCACACCCCCCGCCCGAGGAAGCCCACGGCCTCGCGGTCAGCTGCCGCAGCCCAGAGAGGACGTGGCGCCGACTCACCTCCTTGCAGCGCATCCTGCGGCTGGCCATCTTGAAGTAGTACTCGCTCAGGCCGTCCGGGCTCAGCGGGTCGTGGGAGCAAGCCTGCAGCAAAGCCCGGACGGACTTCTCCTGCTCGAAGACCAGGTACACGTACCCTGTTCCCAACGACAGGAGAAACGGCATCACAATCCCTCGGTGGCCCCTCCTCAGCCTTAGTTCTGCAGCCGGGAGGGTCTCCCGGGAGAAACGCTCTCGCGTGTAAGACGCGATCCTGTCCTACCCCTCAGGAGTCTTGCGAACGGAGCCCCTGCTCTGCCCACTGCCCAGGACTGGGGAGGGAGACACGTCCCTCTCCCAGCTAAGCAGGGAGGGGACTGGCAGGACACGGGCCCGTCAGAGCACACGGCTCTCCACGCGGGATGCCATGGGGGTCCGGCAAGCCACACTTCCCGGCCGGAGGGAGGGCAGGTCTGCGGGCCGCCGGGTGGGGGTGCGGGGGGCTCTGCTCTAAAAGCCTAGTTAGACCACTGGTCCAGTTCCTCGGCACATTTCCGGCGAAGACGGTGCAGGGTGAAAATAGCACCTGCTCCTTCCTACAGGGAAGGGATCTCATTTCAGACCACTGAGGAACCAGAGGCTCGGGCCTCGTGCCTGCCAACCCCGGAGGGACCTCAGAACTGGGTCGGGCGACAACGCGACTGGGCAGGGGAGGCGGGCGAAGGAAAGCTTTCCAAACGCCCCGTTTCCAGAGGAAAAAAGCCGCTGGGCCCGGCCTGGGGGGAGTGCACAGGGAAGTTCCCCCTCAGGGGTGTTGGGGCAGCTCCCGCTGCAGGTGAGTTGGGACGGACGGACGGTTAGCTGGGAGGAGACAGAGGGTCGTGCGGTGGGAGGGCAGGGTGGGGACCGAGATCGCGTGCTCTGAGTGCTCAACCACGGTCCGGCATGCAGCGGCGACACCTCAGTGCGGTTAGGTGCTAGGGGGGAAGAAAAGAGCTCCTACCACGTCTGTATTACCTTTAGGCATATTACCTTTGGGAGGACACCGGGGGTGCTTTCCGTCCTTACCGGGCCACTCCACACTCAGAGCGCCAAAAACACGGAAGGTGTTAATCAATCCAGCTGCGGAGAGATGGGCAAGAACAGCGGGAGCTGCGGCACATGCGCCCCAGACGCTCCCCGCTCCCGAAAGACGCCCCTCCCCACAAGGCCTGGAGCGGGAGGGCCCAGGCAGCTCACCCTCCGTGATATCCCAAGGAACACCTCCTAGGAACACTTTGCAAGAGTAGATGGGGTTCTTGTAGTTCCGGGGAGGAAGTTGACCACTCCAGGTACAGGTGGCTTCGTTCACGGCTGTGGTGGGAGAGGGAGAGAGAAACGGGGTCAGAAACCCGGCAAAGGCACCGCCCTGCTCCGCGTGAAGTTGTCTGGGAAGGACTGGACAGGCCCCGGTCGCAGCCAGCTGCTGGGAGAACGCCCTCGACCATTCCGCAAGGCAGGGAAACCTATGCCCCGCCGGCCTGATGACCCTCATTCACTGGAGTTCTTCCTCCACGAACCCCGAGAGTCATGCAGAGCACAGATGGTCCCCGAGCGAGCTATCTTCAAGTGTGTGACTGGTTCTTTAACCGCAAAGCAGTTACATCTAGTCTCTGTTTAGAAGACCAACCGACTTAAACTAAAATGACGTGAACACAAACAGAACGACTTTGTACACAGCATCGTCCCAAAGGCCGACTGGCCCAGGAGGGCATCACCTCCCAATGCCCCAAGAAGGAACACCGGGTCTCCTTCCCCAGTCTCTGCTCCGGACTCGTCGGTCACAGGAGTTAGTGCACTGCCAGTAGAACCCACCAGGAGCAACCCTACAAGAGTGCCACCAATGTCCCCGAGTCAGGGCCGTGCCCCACTCTCCCAGAGCCACCTGTGTGGTGCCAGGCTGGCACTGGCCCTTCCGTGTGACAAGGGCTTCCCCTCGACCCCTCGGCATCCTTCCACCACCGAACACAGGCTGGGGGGACCCACCGCGAGGCTCTTCTGAGTCAAACTCCCTGTCGAGAAACCCTGGCCGCTGCAGGAAGTGGGACTGCACCTCTGTTTGGCCCTGACCACTTCTAGAGGCCTCTCTCTTCTTGGGGACCAAGTCAGCCTCTGTCAGTCCTTCGTCCTGCCCCCACTTGGTCTGTGCTGTTCCAGACCAGAGACTGACCGCGTGGGGAGGGCCAGGCCTCGCCGGCTGTGCTCCCGCCTTCAGCACCGGGGCGGGGGGCATGGAAACCGCCGTCCCTGTCGCTCAGGGTGACAGCACGGAAGCCACGCCCTGCGCAGCCCGGCCCGGCGTGCGGCTAGAGCGGGAACCCGGGCACCGTCAGCAGTGTTTTGCGAACAGAAACAGAAGTCGAGGTAACGGCCTTGTCCAAAGGTGGGGCCATGTCACCACACAGGAAGACGGCACTGGGGACAGTGCAGAGATGGCCGCCCAAGCCGTTAGGTGAATAGGGCCACCGTGCTCGGGGGAGCGGGAGGTCGGGCCCAGCCTGGAAGCACGGGGCACGGAGACACTCAGCACCGACCTGGGCACCCACTCCAGCACCCAGAACCGCGGTCGGGGGTGCCCCCGGAGTCTTAGTAAACAGCGACCCCGCAGCCCACTGACTTCCGAGCACTGGTGTGAGATGAACAGCAAATCTGGAGATCACAAGAATGACAGGACCCAGGGGTCTGGGAGACCAGGACACTGGGGACACCCCTTCCCTCGGGGGCCGCCCACCCCGGGGCACCCTGGGTCTACCAGACAGGAAGCCTCGGGGAGGAAAGCTCCATCCAGTGTGTGTGTGTGGGGGGAGGGGTGGGGGGGTGGTGTCTGACGCGGCTCAGAGCCGGAAGGGGGAAGGGGGAGGCAGAGGAACTCTGAGCCTCACGTCTGGGTCTCTCCTGAAGACCTCCGTCCGCCCGTCCGTGAGGGGATAAAAGGGGCAGCTCCACACGGAGGAGCCCGACTGAGACGGGTCCAGCCCTCACGGGCACAGCCCTGCGCCCCAGGGTCTCCACCGCCTCCCCCTCTGCAGAAGCCCCGGCTGTGGCCCTGTCAGCACTCAGCCGCAGAGCAGAGCAGCGTCGCAGACCCAGAGGCCTCCCCATGAAGCCCAGCCCTCTTCTTCACAGACAGCTCCCCGCCTGTGGCCCCGGCTGCTCCCCCCTGCGCCCAGGAGGCGGCCTCGCGCCCCAGCCTGCCCGCCGCCCACTCACCTGCAGCCTGCCGGTGCAGCCTGGCCTCTCTCTCAATGCTGAAGGGGTCTTTAGGGGCTTCCAGGAGGTCCCAGGACGGCCACAAGGAAGCCCCCGGCCATCTCTTGGACGCGCTGGTCGGGGAAGGAGTGACTGCGGCGAGAGCGGCTTGCTCTTGGTCCATCCGGGACCCAACCCCCATCTTTAAAGACTCCCTGGGGCCACCCCCTGTCAGAGACAGGAAGGGCAGCGGGGGGGAGATGCGGAGGCTTGACTAGGGGAGGAAGGAGGGAGACATGGGTTTTAAAGGACAGTCTTGTAGTAACAGTGACGATCACGCTATGAAAAGTACTATCACGCATCTGCTATATTTTCTTTGACTTCCCTCCTAAGCATTTTTAAAATTACTTGTCCTACTATAATTTAAACAGAGGCTTTTCTCCCCAAGTCAACACTTTTTTTTTCGCTCTGCCCGACAGTCTTCATAACGTTGTTAATTAATTTATGATCCTCTATTTCGGGAACAAGCTACATCTCCCTGAACTATTCCTGTACTGCTGAACATTGGGATACTCGCTGACTTTTCAGGATTATAAACACTCTAAAATGTAGCTTCTTCACATTTTGTGTTTTCTTTGGTCAGATTCCTAGGTCTGGAATGTCAAAATGCCTTCTGGCTGTGTGTGTGGGGGGGGGGGCACGGGGGGGGGGTGGATGGGAATTCTATCAGAACTGTGTCAGAGCGTTTCACTGCAGGCTGCACCCAGGCTTTAAATTGTACTGATTTAAGTGGCTAAATGATATCACATCACCAAAAAAGAAAAAAACAACGTAAAATAATTGTTCAACAGAACCAAAGTTCAAACACTGCCTCTAGTTCTGCGTCTGTGAGCCGTCTGTCCAAACCCCTTCACCCGCTCCCCCCTGGGGCGAGGCTATCTGAGAAAGCTCTTCGGACAAACTCCCGGGACGGGAAAGCTTCGAGAGGCCCACTTCCAGGGCCGAGCCCCATCGCCCAGGACACAGGCAGGAGCCCCTCATCTCACTCCACTCACGGGGAGGAAGCTGTGGGGGGCAAAGCGCCTGCTCCCCGCTCGCGCCCTGGGCCAGCTGACAGGGACGAGGCGGGTGCTATGGGTGGTGCTACAAAAGGAACACTGTCACCACCACCACCACCACGGTTGCCAGTCCTGGGCACAGGGGAGAAGCAGCCCTCCCCGTCACAGAACAGTGCGCTCAGGGGGCTGGGGAGGAGCGAGGCCGGAGCGAGGCCGGGAGGAGGAGGCACGTTGACACTGCACTTCACTGCGGGGCGGTTCCTCACAGCCGCCCCGCCCCACGTGCCTTCTCCTGGTAGCCCCGCTTGCATCTGCTGACCCCCTGTCCAGCTCCCCCCAGCAGCGGCAGTGCGCCGGCTCCTCGGGCTGTGCGTGAGGAATGAGGAGTGTGCGTGCAGATTAACCCGCAGGCAGCAGCTCCCAGAGCCACGGTGGCCCCCGGCTGAGAGCCGGCGTGGGCCAGAGGACGGGACTCGGGAGCCGGAGCCAGTCAGATCTGGCCTCAGACCCTGGCCCTGCGGACGACAGGCAGGCAGGCGTGCCGATCCCGGGGCTCTGGCTGCAGACCGCCACGACAGAGCGAGTCTCCCAGGAAAGCGAGTCAACGTCCCTTTGCTGGGGCGGGGCCTGGTCTCAGTCTGTAAAACAACGTGACACCCGAGGCGTGCCACCTTGTATGCTAACGTGGGGTTGTTTAAATCATCACTTAAAAATGTCGAGATCTCACACATGAAAGCACACAAACGACACTGCTTAAAGGTGAAAGAAAACCCGTGTCACTCAGGAAGGAGAGCGCTGCGAGGACCCCCATGTCCGCTCTGGGACGACGGTCAGCCGGCAACGGCTCCTGGAGAAGCTCGGAAAACCGTCCCCACTGCTCACGACGCACCCCTACTCTGCAGAGGCGAGCAGCTCTGTCTGCGCCCACGGCGGCCCCTACCCTCCGGGCCTGTGCTCGAGGGACGCACACCCACGGCTCACCCCCGACGAGCTACATACGATCAAGTCGGAGAGGTGGTCCGATCCCGAGCTGAAGCCACTGGTGTCTGAGTCGGAGGGGCTACTGGAACGGGAGTCCAGGATGGGCCGCGTGTCCAGGCGGGAGCTTCTGACCGAGGGTGCTGGGAACTTGTCCACCACATCAGCTCCCAGGGGGTCCAGCGGCAGAAAGCCCAAGGGGGACTTCCCCAGGACATTGCCCAGTGGGTTGTGGAGCATGCTCAGCACTAGGAAGGAGAGAAGAAGAAAGTCTCATGACCCCTCTCATTTCTTCCCAGCCCACAGCCCTTCCCTCTCCTCCCACAGCCACCCAACAGGACGGGCCGAGGCACAGCCCCCGAACTGCCCCAGGGCCCCAGTTTGAGTGCAAGTTGCAGGCGCACACCCGGTACCGACACCGGCCACCTGGGGCCACGGGGGCAGTTACAGGGCAGCTTTCTGAAGACAGACCAGAGGCCCTGCTGCAACGGAAGGAACAAGCCTCCTGCTCTCTGCCACCAGGCTTCAGGGTCAGTGCCAGCATGTGGGAACCTGTGCCATCAGGGACGGGTCACAGCTGCTATCAACACCTGAAGACACACGCCCAGGGTGCCACTGGAGACACACCCTCCTCCCTGCCAGCCAACGGGTTCATCAGAACCCCCACTGTTCTCCCCTGCACAGCTGACACAGGACTTCTCCCCTGTACCCCCGAGGTCTGGCACAACACACACACGCCTCTCCTCTGAGAGTCCCTTTAAGCAGGGCACCCCAGACCTCGATCCCTCGGGATGGAAGCAGAGTGACATTCTGGAGGAGCCGCTATGGCCTCAGACAAACCTCGGACGAAGCCCTGGCCTGGCCCTCCGCAGCGGACCATGTGTGCAGGGGAGCCCTGCACGTCCCTGCTCTGTCGTGGTCTCTTGGGTGGAATACAACTATTTCACTATACTGCCGGGTGGGGGGGGTCGGGGGGGCACTCGGCAGGCAGGCGATGTGTGTGTGTGTGTGTGTGTGTGAGAGAGAGAGAGAGAGAGAGAGAGAGAGAGAGAGAAACGTCAAGGAAGACTGAAGTGGAGCCCAGGACGGGTTGTGTGTTATCAGGGAAAGACAGGGAGTGTCAGCAGACAGGAAGCAAATGGAAAACCGGCCGTTCCCGGCGGCTGCTGACTGCAAGAGGAATGCAGGGGCAGGCAGGACGGACAGGAGGAAGACCCGGGGTGCATGACCTCAGGTGGCTGAAGGGGACTGTGTGGACTGTGAAATACTGGACAGGTCGCCCACACGGGCATGAAGGGGCGCACGCCGGTCACCGGGATTGAAGCTGAAACAGATACACAAGAACAGACACTGAGACCTTCAGAGGAGGAGGACTGGGGGAGAATGCGTGGCCCCCGCTCGACAAAGTGGCGTCCTGCGAGGCCGGAGGAGCACTCGCCAGAGACGGGCACGGTGAAGGACAGTGCACTAACCTTCCAGCGTCGTCAGGGGAAACCGAGCACAGAGCGGCAGGCGCACCCACCCACCCTCGGCAGCGGCCCAAAGGGCTTGCGGACGATCAGCATGGGCTGGAGCTACACTTTCACCCAAGGTTAAAAAAAAAAAAAAAAGTACGCCTGAAAAAGTCAAAAAGCAATATGGGTGCCACTGTGGACCACTTTCCTCGGTCCCCGATCTGTGTTCCCTCTGCTGGGACACCTGCTCTACCAGCCACAAAGCCATCAAACCACCTGCAGTTTTCATGTATTTCTGTCACGCCCACACACAAATCTTGAGGCTCTGTCAGAGTCCTGTGCCAAAGCCAGGAATGACCTCCACCACGTCTCCCAGTCTGATGACAGGCCTGCCCAAGAAGAGAAAGGCAGGACGGCCCACGCGGGCCACTGACCTCCGCGTCCTTGCATGTTCGCGGTGCGTGGTCGGTCGTGGGCTCTCCTGTGCCCCACGTCCCATCACGCTCCTGCCCTCGCCGACAGCAGCTCCCGGGTGCCGCACACGTCGAACATGCCCGATACGGTCGGCAGCACTCCGGGTAAGTACCCTTCATGGAACCCTAACGGGGGGGTGTTGTCACCCCATCTCAACAAAGGGACCCCAAGGCTCGAAGAGCAAGTATGTGAGTAACAGCTAGTGAGTGACAGAGTGGGACCCAATTCTTTCCGATTCCAAGCCTTGCACCTTCATGAGCATCTCGTGTCTTTAAATACCCGAATTCTACCTCGCCTCGTCTTCACCATCCTTGACCATCATCTACGGACAAGCTCTCAGCTCCCCGGGGTCCGTGCCTTGGGAACTCCATCATCTGGGTCTGAACACTTCTCCGGGGCCTGGCTGCTGTGGGAACTCATTAAAGATGCACCGTGGGCCCTGCTCCAGACCTACTCAATCAGAACCTGCACTTTAACAGATCCCCAGGAGACTGTGTGCACATTAAAGTTTGAGAAGCACTGAACTAGAAAATCCTGAGCCTTGCTACTTCAAGCTCCTTACCTGTCCCCTTTACCACCCCCCAAAATCCTTTCATGTCCAATTATTTCCCTTGACTTAGAAACCATGGGTTATTTAAGCACAGCTCAGACGGCACAAAGGCAACTGCTCCCCACGATGAGAAAGGAACCCATGTGGGAACTCTGAAAGCACTGGGCGGGGCTGGGGGGCTGACGAGAGGGAGAGAGGCAGACAGCCGCTTTGCTGTGTATCCATGTGAGAATATCCTTATTCTTAATGGTTCAGAAGTTACATATATAGACACAGGGTGGAGCAAAGGTGGTGGTTTACAGTGGTTCGTGTGGAAACCAGTACAATAATCAATAAATAACAACACAAGAATAAACTGTTTTGCGTGCTCACGACGGCAGCCCTGCCCCAGCCCCACCCTGCAGAGGGAACGTGAGAGTGATGGGGGGGCAAGTCCGCAACGGGGAACCGGATAAAGGGGAGTGCCAGCATCCTCTGTGCGCGCTGTTCCGTATCTGTAAATTCTGTAAGTTTGAAATTATTTCCCAGAAAACTTTTTTTTTTTTTAATGACAGGAAAGAAAACTAGTCAATTCCCATTTGATTCTCTCTGCCTTTTTTGAGGCAATTGATCTCAGCAGAGCGTAAGTGAGAGGGGCTAGACTCCCCAGAGGAAAAAACGGTACCCGAGTAGCTCTGGAGTGTCCGTCTGGAGGAAGAAGGCACCTCCTCCTAAACAAGCTGTTCAGACAGCTCCGTACAGGCATCTGCAGGCACGTGTACACGCGGCTCCGCCTGCTCGGCCGAGTACACGCTCGGCGTCCGTCCCCACACCCCACCGGACAGCACCTGGCCCCACACCTACCCGGAGTGGGGACCGTGTTTGCTGGACGTACCGAAAGGGGCTGTCCCCTGGGCCTTAGAGCCAGACCGCTCACTGAGGCCACACCCTTCCCATCACAGCTCCCCGATCGGAGGACCATGCCGACTTCCATGCGACTCAGAGCTGGGGAAAATCCCTCGGCTTACCCCTGCCCAGCCTACCGCCAACACAGAGACTGAGAGCCGCCCGGTCCTGTGCCCGGCCCCTGGTCTCAGACACCTCCTTCGAGGAGGGCTGACCGTGTGCAGTGCAGGCTGCAGGGTCACCCTCCCTGCCCAGCCCTCCCCGGAACCCTCCGGGGCCCTCCCAGCCCCGACACCACCTCTGCATTCAGGCTCAGGGAGCGGGCGCAGGGCCTCAGTGAGCTCTGCCGACCACACAGGGCAACGGGGGCGCGGGCTGGCAGTGACGGCCTGGAAGGGGCAATGTCACCTGGCTATCGTGTAAGAGCAGGGTGCCCGGAATCTCCACACCTGGGCCACGTCAGCACCGCTGTGCATGCATACGTGTCCTGCAAAGATGAGACTGGAAGGGGCTAAGGTTACGGCAGGAGCGTGACTAGGAAACACAGGGAAGACGAGAAACTCCAGTCTCCAGACGCCTGGGGTTTCCCAGGTGGTTTGACAGCCCCTTCAACCTCGGAAGAAGCTGAGTTTCTGGAAACTGTCACCCGTGGTCCAGTGCCCTACAGTGACGTGACTGTCCCTCCGCAGGCTGCCAGCACACAGGGCCTGGCCAGGCGGTGCTCTGAGTATCCACCGGCCAAAAAGAGGGAAAGCCGCGGAGACAGCGGGGTCCCAGGCAGGGGCCCCCTTTCAAGAGACGGAGCCCGCCTTGCCCCCAGCCCAGCCCACGGAGCAGCCCCACCCCTGTAGCACGTGTGCTGAGCGAGTGGCCCCGACTCCCACGAACCGAAAGTCGGGGGGGACACAAAGCAGCTGGTCCTCGGCAGGTCCCTTCTCCCTAACTGGAAGGGGGACGACCAGACGGGAAAGGCACTCTCCATAAGCCACGGAACCTAAAACCCTCTGGAAACGACAGGTCCCCGTGCTGCAGGCCAGTGACTCTCTCAAAGCCCGCTCCCCGGCACGGGGCACGGAGCTCACTCCGTCAAGGCCAGGGTCCCACAGTCACCCCTGCTCAGCTCCTGTCCTGACCTGCACAGTTCAGGGGTCACAGACAGAAAGTCAGAGGTTCACCAAGTGCCCCCCGCCCTGCTGGCTGAGTGCACAGTAACCCCAACCCACTCCCGGGCTGGCCGGGATGGTACCGCCACCGTCAGCTCTCAGGGCGGTCATGGGAGAGAGGGCCTGGCAGAGGGCTCACTCGCTAGCGCTCCCTCAGCGGGCGCAAGAGACCCAATCCGCAGTCATATTTTTAGACCGACTGTTAGCTTTCTCCACTGTCACCCTTCTACGCCAGCTCCTGTGGGCTTCACAGCTGAGTCACTGCTGGAATTTTCTCAAGCCTGGCCCAAGAGGACAAAGGCACCCAGGGTCTGACGGTGGCGGCGGCAGCGACGGCAGTGGGAGCTTTGTGCCGGACAGAGGACTGCATGGAACACAGTCAGAGCCTGAGCTCAGCACGGCAGGTGAGGCCCCAGACACACAGTCAGACTCCTCTTACGTAACAGAAGTCTCGGGAGAAACGCAGACACGTGCTGGGAGTCCCACCCTGAGACAGAAGGCTACGTCCCCTGAGCCCTTCCCCCCTTCCCGACCCTTGGTGCTAGGCCGTGGGTCCAAGATGGACCTGAAGGCACAGAGGTTGAAGGGGGAGGGTGGCACTCGTTCCGGACCCAGCCTGCAGCTCGGGTGCGCTCCTCGGTCTCGTCTCTCTGCCCTGACTATGGGTCTCACAGGTCCAGGGTGGGCCCTGACGCCGCCTTTCTCCTCACCCCGACCTCTGGAAGTTTCCCTGACAGAAGAAGCGACACGTCCCGCAGCCACCCACCCCACCTGGGAGGGACCCCACTGTCACAGGGTTCCCAGGAGCCCCTCCCTTCTCTGCGCGGACAGTGACTCTTCCACAGACTACCTGACACTACAAGGACTACCACAAGGACTCCGGCTCCAGTGCATGCTGCAACTTCCTGCGAGCTGGCCGCCAGGCCCCGGGAGCCGTGGGGACGCGGAGTCACTGACCCTGCAGGACCTGCCCACCCAGCAGAAGAACACACGGAGCGACCCTGCCTGAAGCCTGAGGTCCAGACGCACCGGGACTGGCAGGGGGCCAGCTCCCGTCACTCACGCCCTGACTGCGCAGCCGGCAGCCACGACCGGGCCCCGAGCTGTGTGCTGGAGTACGGTGGCGGAGAGCTGCACAGCCGGGCTCAACTTGCAGGGACCCTTGGGCCCAGACGCCCATGCCACACAGGGGAGGAATCCTATTTTGGATGCTGCTTTGGAAAGGTTTTTTGGAAGCACAGCAGCTGCAGAAGCAAAATGCAGAGGACGCCTGCCCCTCTCGGCTGGGACCATCCAGCCTGCAGCCAGGGGGCACCACACAGGGGACCCAGCACCCCCTGCTCAGCAGTCAGGGCGGAGCCCAGACACAGCAAGCAGGCTACACCCCGGTACCTGCTCCGGGGAGTGGGGGAAACAGGACACGCCCTCCAGCACCCCGAGCCCGGCGTCTGGTCTGCCCCCGGGCTTCTGTGCCAGGTGTCCCTAGGAGTCCTGGTTCCACTTCCTGCCGAGTTCTGCTACACGCCCGAGTCCCCTGGGGGAGGCCGGAAGACCATCCCCCGGGGGGCAGTGGAGGAGCTGAGACCTGCCCAGCGCAGGCCCTGGCCCTGAGGCAACCGTCACCTCTGGCTCGGGAGCCCCAGAGTCATCCACAGAGGTCCCCTACCCTGCGTTCTTGCCCCGCCATTAGGGCTGTGCTCGAGGGAACACAGGTGTAATGGAAAGCTGAACAAGTTCGGAACCAGCGAGACCTGGTCAGAGTCTGGGCCAGAATCTGGCAGTGGGGCTGCTTTGGGAGCCTGCTTCCTCGTCCTCAGGGCGGGACCAGCATCAGCACCCGTCTCCCAGGACCGAGAAGCATCCCAGTCACACGATGTACTCAGCACAGGAAGCACTCGATACTGCTGGCGTTCGGCCATGGTACCCCGTTCCAGGACAGTGAGGACGGCATTCGTGAGGTACGCACCGTCTAGAAGACATCCGAACCAGCACTGGCCCTGCAACCACAGCCTCCAGCTCGGAGTCCACCGCAGGGTCTGCCTGCACTGCAGCCTGCGAGGCCCACGAAACCCACGCAGCAGGAGGCCCCACCCCGGGGAGAGCGAACCCGTCTCCTGCAGAGCGCCGAGCGAAAGGTCACCCCAATGCAAAGAACCCCACCGCACAAACCCCCCACACTGCATTTGGTACGCTTCCACATCGCCTCCCTCAGTGGGTGGGGGGGGGGGTTAAGGGCGAGGGTTTTATCTGCTGTGGCTATCTCCAGTGCCCAGAGCACGGTGCCCAGCACACACCAAGTGCTGGGTGTTTGCTGACTGAATTTAGCCAAGATTTCTCAGTCAAGAGCTCTCTCCCGACCTGCTGCCCTGAACAGTGCCGGACCCTTGGAGTGCCAGCAGATGGTCAGAGGGGAAGCCACAGCTGCCTGGGCACCACGGCACCGGGCAGAGCCCAAGGACTCAGTCCACGCAGAGGCCACACACAGGGTGCCAGTTGCCTGCAAGGACGACCCCTGACTGCCCAGAGCCACCCTGGAGAGACGGAGCTAGCTGGGCCTCAGGCAGGAAGGCAGGGTGGGCCCTGGAGTGTGGGCTGCATGTTCCCGCACAGCTGGCAAGGGCGCCTGCTGCAGCCGGGGGTGGGAGGGCTGCACCCCACTGCAGGAGGCGGCGCCTGCGTGGGCTTTCAGAAGGCCGGGACGCAGGAAACGAGGACACGGCCCTCGCCACAGCTCCGAAATCCAAGGACAACATGGGGACTGAGGACAGTGTGTCTCCACCCCTCAGAGAGAAGGACGTGCCCACACTGGCCCTGCCCGCAGCGAGGCCACGCCGCCAGGGCCACCCCCCGGCCCCTCTGAACACAAGGGTCACGCCACAGTCCCTCCCTGGTGCACAGAGCCCACCAACATGTATCACTCAAGAGCCTGAGATGGAAGGTGGCGAAGCAGGCCCACCCCCATTTCAGAGACAGCTCCAGGCACAGGCTTCTCGGGGTGGCAAAGCTGCGGAAATTAAGGCTGGACCCAAGCTATTTTTTTTAATTAAAGTGTAGCTGCCATGCAACACTTTAGTTTCAGGTGTACAACACAGTGGTTCAAAGTTTACACACCTTACAGCGTGACCACCTTGGTGAGCCTGGGACCCGTGTGTCTGCATACCTGGCTCTGACAGCAACACGGACCGCACTCCGGGGGCCGTGCACGACGCCCCTGCGACGGACTCCGCAACGGGGAGTCTGGGCCTCTCAGGCCTCCTACCTTTCCCACCCACTCCCCACCCTCGCCCCGGAACCGTCCACCTGCCCTCCGTGTCCGAGTCTCCGTTCTGTTTGTGTGGTGTTTTAGCGTGCACCTACAAGAGGGATCACATGGTATTCGTCCTTCTCTGCCTGACTTATTTCACTGAGCATAACACGCTCCGAGTCCGTCCGTGTGGTTGCAAATGGCAGGGTTTCACTCTTTTTTTATTGCTGAGTAATATCCCAAGCTATTTTTACAGCCTAATTTCACAGCAACTTTCAGGCCAAGCTCTCCCAGCCCCCAGACGGGCCCTCTTGCACATCTGCGTGCTGTGATTACCTCTCGGGAAGGCCCTTGCAGCAGAGGCAAACCAGAGCCAGGGGAGGGCCACACCCCAACCTGACACCCGTCGAAGACAGGGCCCTGGTCCGACACTGGCCACCACAGACAGGCCCGTTTCTCAGGGGAGCGCCTCTTTCTGTGGCTCAGACACGGTGGGACGGAGCCCAGGTCAGCTTTGCAGGCCACACAGGATGGCTGCAGAGCACCCCCAAATGAAGCCACCACAGCCTCCAGCCGAGATCTGCAGGCCCAGACCCCACTGACACCACGCTGCCCTGGGGCCCGTACCCCCCCACTCGGGGGAAGCCCGAGGCGGCGGAAGGCTAGGGCTCCCACCCAGAGGTGGTCACAGCAAAGCTCATCCCCACCTGCAACCAAGTTCAAAAACCCCAAACCCCGACCCCCAATCCAATGGGATTTTACTGAAATAAATGGGCATTAAAATGCCAGCAGACACAACAGTCCCAGGCTCTGCAAAGTATTCTAAAAAAAGACCTGCACCAATGAGGGTGGAGGCCAGAGAAACCAGCACGGCAGCACCTGGCTGCGCCAGGGCAGGAGCCCGGAGGCTGGAGCCCAGAGCCGGGCGGCAGGAAGGGTGGCGGCAGCTCCGTGACTCCTTCGGCAGCAACAGCAAATGGCTGCCCCCCCACCCCCACCCACCGGTCCTCCTGAAGTAGCTGCTGCCGACAGACATCCGTTATTAAGGCACAACTCACATACAGCCAAATACGCAGATTCTAAGTACACCCATACAGTACCCCTTAAGTTCCCATTTCCTCCCGAATACCCAAGACCTGAATGTGACTACCCCCCCCTTGTACCACCAGAGGGAAGGTCTGGGCAGAAGCCGATCAAGGGGGCCAGGGCCCCTTCGATTTGCCCCCATCAAATCCCTCCGGTGACAATCACTCCTGAAGGGGAGTGGCCCTCCCTTCACCCACCGGGTCACCCTTAACACAAAGGAAGGAAAAGGGCCTCTGTAGCCGAGAGCCACTCCACCCTGCTCGCCCTGCCCACCCCCTTCCAGGATCGATGCTCTCAGCCCATGTGAAGCCAATTCCGATCGCCCAGGATTTCCCAGCTCACTTGCCACCACTCAGGGACCACCCGTCCTGCACGAGAGCTCCCTAGCCTTAAGGCCACTGAGAAACAGAATCCGGGCGTCCAGTAGGCAGCCCCTGAAGTCCCCTCCCCCACCCAAAAGTGTTTTGCTTCATCATCTCTAAGACAGGCCTGGGCACCAGGGGGTTTATCCGGATCTTTTCTGCCTCGGGCTGTCACCTTGGGGACCTTTCTCAGGGCCACCCCAGGTGCAGGCCAACAACTCTGGGGAATTTGTCAGGGAAAGCGGAGAAGCCGTGCTTGCCCTTCCGAGCCACCATCTGTCCTGCACGCTCACGGCCAGCATTTCCATCTCTTGCAAAACAGCTCCATGTTGTACGTGGGGAGGGGTGGGGGAGGCAGAGGGGAGCGGAACAACTGTTGCTGTGGATATCTGCGCCGGCCGCCCGGGCGCCCCCTCCCCCGCCGACCCGTTCTCTGGCACTCACCCGACTGCGCGCTGCTCTGGGCTGAGGAATCGGAGTCCTGGGTGCTCCAGGGTCGGTCCCAGCCCGCGAGACTGAGCGACTGCAGGCCAAGGCACAGGTCATTTGCATCTGGGAGGCCCCGGGGAGAATCTTGCGCAGAGGTGGGGAAAAGCATCCTGCTCACGACTGTTTCTTCCGAGTCCGGGAAGTCTGTTTCGGACAGGAGGACAGCAAAACCCCAGAGTTAAGGGCTGTTCGCCCTGGTGTTACCAACAACAAATATTATTAATAATAGTTTCCCCAGGCTTAGGGACCAGACACCCAAGCGGGCGGGATGCTGCAGCAGCTGCCTCTGCACTTTTGGGGGCGTTAGAGAGAGAGCAGCGGCCATGCAGCCCCCTCCCCAGGCACACACCCCATCCCGTCCGCATTACAGACTGGCCAGCATGTGATCAGGCTGCTGATGCTTCCCGCTGCCAGTGACATCAGCCGGCTGAGCCGTGCAGCAGAGCGAGCGGCATCATCCCTCACAGCACGGGGAGGAGCGGGAGGGGACGGCGGGGAGGAGACTCGCCTCCCAGGGAAAAGGCAGCACAGCAGCTACTCGGAACAGCCGGTGCGGCGCCGGTAAGTCAGGGCTGCGAGGCGGCGCCCTCCGGTCTCCAGCAATGGTGGCCCGGTGGCCCTGAGGCAGGACTGAGGTCCTCGCCGCCTGCCGACAGCAGAGCCAAAGCTGCGCCTGCTGGCTCGTGGCGCTGCCCTCCTGCCCCTCCCACTCCCTCCCTCCGCTCTCCACCCCCAAACCCAAAAACACTCTAGTCCTGGACTCTCTCCAGCTGCTTGCTCGAGTCCTGGTTTTGCAGCCCAACGCAAAGCTCCGCGGTCCTGCGAGCAAAGACCCATGGGCTCCCCGAGGCCCCTGGGCAGCACCCTGACACAGCAGTGTCTTCCACAGAGGGTGGGATAACCTTCAGAAAACACTGAACACGTGCACCCCGGCAGCAACACCTGGTGCTCCTGTCTGGAGCCGCCGATCACAGGGGAAAGGGGTCAGCGCTGGCAGTGGGAGGGGAGTCTCGGGGCTGCTGGAGGTACAGCCCACAGCCCACACGCCACGCCCAGGGAGACCTGCCCTGACTAGGACAATCTGTCAGGAGCGCACACACGTATCAGGCCCCGTGACTCCCTCCCTCCGGCAACGGGAGGCCTAGAGAGACGAAACACTCCCCAGTGTCTGAAAGACCAAAACACGAGCAGCCGTCTCAGACGTGGCCTTACGCCCCACAGAAGCCCCATTGAGACCCTCCGGTCACCAGCTCTGCCCTTCCGGGGGCCTGAGAGCTGTCCTGCCGGCTGTGAGCATCCCCGAATGCGTCAGCTACCCGGTCCCCTCGCATTAGGGATGCTGCCAGGGCCAAGGCCCTGTGTCTGTGACCACCCACAGCTCCAGCAACCAAGGTCAGCTCTTCCAACCGCCCCTCACCAACGTCCTCTCTGCACCAGTCTTTCTCCCACACGACCTCAGAAAGGAGGGGCGGCCCAGACCCCAGCCCCGGCAGGCAGGCTGCACCCCGAGCCCGGGCTGCAGCACCCGCCCTGCTGTTCCCCGTGGAACACAAGTGACCCTGTGCTGGGAGCAGGCCCACCGGGGACTGCCGCCTGCCGTGACAGGGCCCCAGGGGGGCAGAGCGGGGCACAATGCTGTCACGCAGGAACGCTGGCCAGCGCCTCCTGCAGCTCGGCCCGTGTCCACAGGCACCGGCCTCAGCCCAGCGGGCACAGCCAGCCTGTGGGAGGGACGCCTCCCGGGAGGGTTTTTTTTAGAGCTGTGCTGCTGTGTCATCCATCCCGGTCCTCGTCTGGCTGCCCGTCTGTGTCAGGGCCTCGGTTTCCCAGCGCACGGGCCGCACTGCCCCCACCCAGCCTGCCCTCCACGCCCACCCTTCCCCAAGCTAAGAGGAGACTTTTCAAACTGATCCGTATGGATCAGCTACAACACGTGATGCTTCCTCTTCAAGCACCCAGACTTGAGAAGCCATTTCCCCGAAACCAGCTCTCTGTATGGCCCCTCCATTTCGCCGTCCACAGGCCACCACTTCTCCCCTGTCCCCTCACACCCGGCGTCGCATACGTGGTGACGAGGGCACGCAGAGGGAACCTAATCAGTGACTATCGTCTTGCTGCCCGAGGTAGAACGTGACAGACCAGCAGTACTGCCACCCCAGGAGCCTGTTACAAAGACAGGCCCCCAGGTCCCACCTGAGGCCTGCGGGCTCTGCCCCCTCTCCAACAGGAGCCCCACCTGAGTACGCAGCACTCGAAGTCTGTGCTTGGGATCTAAACACAGCTCCCCTCTGCATTCGTGGCGCATGCCGTGGCAGACGGCACCGTTACCCTGGGCCCACCCTCCCTCGCACTGTCCCTTCCACGTAAAGGACGCCGTCACTGCGCCCGCGGGACCCTCAGCGTGGCGGGCTGGGAGGAATGAGCTCGCTGTGGGAGTCCCACAGACCTTGCTCCGCTCAGCAGGTCTGTGCTGTGTGATCTCCGTCCAGTCCCTCAGCCTTTCTGGGCACCTCTTTTTGCCGGCCAAGGGGCAGCCGCCGCCACCTGTCAGATATTTTGTCAGGACGGCACAAAGCATTTGTGTCTGGCCCCCAAAATTTTATCAGTATTTTACTTTCCATAGGGTGCCCATGTAATTTATCACCCAAACAAGACACGTTTGAGAGAGAGAAAGGGGCAAACGTTAATAATCACGGCAGGGCAGCAGCTTGAACAGAGACTGTCCTGGGCGGAAGGCAGGCAGGGTCATTCTACTTGCAGCCACCCGTGGTCTGAAGCATTTTTACTCTAGAAGCTTCCTTTCTAAGGGCTTCCTTCTCCCAACTCACCCCTTCTGCTCCGCGGGGGGAAGGAAGTGTGAGAAGCAAGCAGTGGACACAGGCCAACAGGCGGTGAGTTCGAAGGTCTGAAGAGGAAAGGCCGACTTTCCTGAGCGAACACCCACCTGTGCCTCTCAAACTCACACCTGGTGCTAGACAGGAATTTGGTCCTTTTCATTGGAGAATATTCTTTATAATCTTCTGTCAAGCACCAACTGGATCCTCAGAGCGATCTCCGGGAACCAGCACAAGGTGGAGAGTTGGTTCTTACTCTGAGGTCATCTATCTGAACGACGTCTCGGCTTACACGCTTTCTCCTCCAAGACTCTTTTATCGACATCTGCACAGAGTGTCTGCTTTAGGTCCCTTCGCTTGGCTTGCAATTTAAAAATTATTTCCCTTTGAAAATATCAGTGATTTAAGCAACAGAACTCAGGGAAATCAGTTAACCGACCTGAGGCTGAAAGTTGCGCCGCAGCCTGAGCTAAAGCATCCCCCGCTGGACCCAAAGACAGGTGAGCAGGGACTCGGCCCCAGGGCTGCTGAGTTCTGCATCCTCAGCATAAGGCCTGCCTGTCCTCCGATGACCCTCTTCTAGCACCGTCTGCACGTGTTTGCTCCGGGGCCTCAGCAGCCACCCTTCTCGAGCGTCCGGCAAACAGGGGAGCAAGACAAGGAAGGGGCAGACTCCACTGCCAAAGGCAGGCAGGCGGTGACGGCCCTGGACAGCCCTGGGCATCCTGGGCAGATGTGCCACAGGCTGATGACAGGAAACCAGAGACGTAGCTTTGAGGAGGTGACAGGGGAGAAGGGCGAGTCAAGCCAGGAAGGGCCGAGGCTGGAACACCAAACTGATGCTCAGGCACACGGTGAGGAATCTGTACACTCTTCGATAAAAGATGGTGAGGAAGAGGCCCAAGGTGCACCGGAGATCAGAGCGAGGGAGCCCAGGGGCGAGAGGAAGACGAGGGGGAGAGAAACAGTCGGGGGAGTTGGGAAGCTGAATCTGATGCCGTGATTATAACTATGTGAAAACTCTGTGTGTTGGTGGACAATGTTGGTTAAAAAAAACACACAGAAAAATGCAGCTACTGTGTGAGGGTAGTAGGCTCTAATAGATTTATTTTCCTTCAGCTACTGCATAAACATTACAACAGTACAAAACAAAACCCGTCCTCTGCTTTTCCTTTTTAGATTTTAAACAAGCAAGCTGTGTAGCACACACGGCAAACACATCATCCCCAGCCCCAGTCCCCACGAAGGGCAGAGACAGGACGTGGGTCGTCTGTCCCCACTAGGTTCACTGAAATGACTGAGTGACTGGACAGCCCGCTGAAGACAAGTTCCATCTACCACGTCCGTGAAGTAGCCCGTGTAGGACTGCATCTCTAAAAAGGCTGTTTGAAAGGCTATTTTCTCCCCCCGAATCAAGAAAACCAAAACGATGCCTTTGAAAATCCATTTTGGCAACTTAACGAGCGAACCTGCAGGAAGTCGGGGCCCGTCAGGGTCAGTCCCACCGCCCCGAGTGCTCTGCGGCCCCGGGCGCCGGCAGGCTGCATGCAGGTTTCTCCACGCAGCTCTGCTCAGACCCCGACGGGCAAGCGGGTGACTCAGGGGTCTTTTCAGAGCAGGTTCTGAGGCAGTGGATCTGGGTCAGGCCCCAGAACCGGCATTTCTAACAAACTCCCAAGTGCTGCTGGTGCCGCTGGTCTGCTGACCACGCTTCAAGAAGCCGAAGTTTAACAGGGTTTTTCTACCCCAGATTCTCTCTTCCAGGTAATTCACCCCGTTCTCGCTCACCCTCATTCTTCATGGTGCGCATCCTCCTGAACAAGGACCCCCAAGGGCTCCCTGTGGCTGCTCAGACCAAAGACCCCAGCTCACTTGTTTATTGTGTCTGACACTAAAGGCTGAGCTCTCTGGAAGCTCAGAGACTACAGAACAACTTCTCGTTAATCTAGGTGCTAACGAGGGCAACAGTGATGCAGAGGGGAGAGAGCGCGTGATGGCTCGGGTACACAAGGAGAGCTGCCCTGCGATTTTAGCTATACGTTAAAAGTCACATTACAACAGGACAAGGTGTAACAGTGAGTATTAGGTTTACCTCGTAAGTCCCGGCATAAAAACACGATCATTGGGTTATGTACATCTTGACTGCTCTTTATCATCTCCAAAGGAGTTCTGCAAATTCTTTCAAAGTGATTTCTATGATGTCTTACGATAAATCTTACCGATATTTAGATTTTACGTCGTATGCAGTGTTCACAAATCGGAAGATTCAATATTGTTCAAGAGCTAATTGCCACCACATCGATCTATGCG